TTTCACCACACAAACACTATAACTGAACCAATCACTACAAAAAAATCAGACTGTCACTATGATTTCACCACACAAACACTATAACTGAACCAATCACTACAAATAAATAAATAAATCAGACTGTAACTATGATTTCACCAGCATACCAAAATATTCAAATTGTCAGTTGTTAAATGAGCGTGTGATGCACATACTGGAGTGGAAAGGACAAATTGGCAACTAAATTCTCATCAAAAATATTTGGCGAGCATCAGAATAAGCTTAATTCAATCAAACAGATATAACATAAATTTCATGTTAAATATTACATAACATTCCATTATACCTCACATACTTCAGCTCTTATCCATTAAAAACACAGACCTAAACATATCAGTGAACAAATAAATCATGCTATTTTTAGAGATAACACTAAAAAAGATTATTATATATCAAAATCATTTAACAATACACACATATTGTAGACAAAGAAAATGCCACTGCACAGATCAAGTTTAAAATCTGGAAAGTTATGTATATATAAGGACACAAAAGGTACTGAAAGGCAAACCATTGTAGTTTGAACACACTGGTATTTCAAAATATGACAAACAAATTAAAACAGAAACAAATTATCAATTGAGCTGCGTCATGACAAAACCAACATAATGCCTGTGCGACCAGCATGGATCCAGACCAGCCTGCACATCCGCGCAGTCTGATCAGGATCCATGCTGTTCGCTTACAAACCCTATAACAAGTAGAGAAACTGATAGCAAACAGCATGGATCCTGATCAGACTATCAAGATGTGCAGGCTGGTCTGGATCCATGCTGGTCGCAAAAGCATTACGTTGGTTTTGTCATAGCACGGCTCAATTAATATCCATTTAGCATATAACTCTAACTTAATTTACTTATTGCATAAATATACAATGACTGATGAAATGTTGAAATGGACATAAATGAATACTGATGCACTATTGTTTACAATGGTTAAAATATTATATCTACTTTTCCCTAAACAAATATTTGATTTTATTACAAAACAGGTAAAGCTTATTACACTATTCCTTCTTTGTGCATATCATAACAATATTTCCCGAAATTGTACACCAGGTTGATCCAGATTAAAAAAAAACAACTTTGTATGAATGTTATTATTATTCAGTAAAATTACTATTCACAAATGTTTGCTTTACATACTTCATGTTACTATGCTTACTGAACAGGTAAAATTACCTTCTTTAAAACTATAACTTTGCAATTTAACAACAAAAACATTACATATTGAGAATTAATTAGAATTCTGATTGTCAACACATCACACTATAGTTTTTTAGTTAAATATGGTTTATTACTTTATCCTGAAAGTAAACAATGATTACAATATCAAACTCTCAAACTCTTGTAGTGTACATTGCTAACAAAATTTAAAATGGAGAACTTATATGTTAACTTATTTTTTTTTCTTCATTTTAACTGTGAATTATTGACAATGGGGTTTGCAGTCTAATTTCAAAGCTTGGAAACACAATTTAGTCCTCCATTTTCATGCTTTCAAAAACTAAATGGCTGAATTTACCTACATTCAGACTTATAACAGCTGCAGGCTTTAATTTCATTTTACCACAAAGTAAAGGTCAATAAATCAATTGTAGCCAACAGTCTTACTTAATTTGCAATTTAACAATCTTACTCATACTTAATTTGTAAGTATTTGGAAGTTACTGTAACATAAACATATGTAACTGTTGGGAGGCAAGAGATATCTGTTAAATGTTCATCTTCAAAACTGCTTTAAAATGGTTTATAATAATAAACTATAAATAATTTTTTTTTGTTAAAGGGTGATATTTAATGATATATCATAATTATATAGTTCCATGATATTGATATATCAGTGTAAGTCTCAATACTTGCGAACATATTTCTCAAGATAAGGTTCACCCAACAGGACACTGGCAGTCTTATATTGATAGCCCCCATCATATACTATGAATTAGAACTATGTGTTGCCTTTGCAAGTGAAAAATAAGGACTGTGTATTGCCTGGCAAGTGATGCATTAGAACTCTGTATTGCCTGGCAACTGACATATAAGGACTGTGAAATGCCTGCCAAGTGATGCATTAGAACTCTGTATTGCCTGCCAAGTGATAAATTAATACTGTGTATTGCCAACCAAGTGAAGAATTAGGACAGTATTGTCTGGCAAATGATGCATTAGAACTTTGTATTGCTTTGCAAGTGACAAATTAGGACTGTGTTTTGCCTGGCAAGTGACAAGTTAGGACTGTGTATTGCCTAGCAAGTGATGAATTAAAACTGTGTATTGCCTGGAAAATGTCAAATTAGGACTGTGTATTGCCCGTCAAGTGTCAAATTAGGACTTTGTATTGCCTGGCAAGTGTCAAATTAGGACTTTGTATTGCCTGGCAAGTGTCAAAGTAGGACTGTGTTTTGCCAGCAAAGTGTGAGATAAGGACTGTGTTTTGCCTGGCAAGTGTCAAATTAGGACTGCATATTGACTGGAAAATGTCAAATTAGGACTGTGTTTTGCTTGGCAAGTGATGAATTAGGACTTTAGATTGCCTGGCAAGTGTCAAATTAGGACTGTGTATTGCTTGGCAAGTGTCAAATTAGGAATGTGTATTGCCTGCAAAGTGTCAAATTAGAAGTATGTATTGCCTGCCAAATTTGACTGTGTATTGCTTGGCAAGTGATGAATGAGGTCTTTGTATTGCCTGGCAAGTGTGAGATTAGGACCATTTTTTGCCTGCCAAGTGATGATTTGACACACATGATGATACAAAAGAGTAACACATAAATTAGTTTGTGAAAAAACAGTACATGTATTAGCATCAATAACTGTCAATTACAATGTAAATCAATAATTTTACAAAACAAATTCTTTCCTTTTCAGTCTCCGAAAATATTTGTTAAAATGTATGGCCCAAGGTAATTTTTCAACACTGCAAGTTTACAATGCTATTAATATTAATGGACTTATCAGCAGTCAATATCAATCATTTACAACTTACTGACTTTTATGTCTTTTCTCCTACGATTTGATGTTTGACCATTTGAAATTTCTAGTCATTATTAGTGTAGAATGCTGGGGGGATGGGGGGTAAAAACTCATAGCAGAGAGCAACATCTACCTCAATTAGGGAAAATCACAATCAATTTGTTAATCAGACACAATCAATCTTAATGTCTTGATGAAATTGTATAGTTGTCTCATAATTGACCAATTTGGAGCCACTGAAGCAGAAGGCTGCTGTTTCAAATATACAGCTGATTGGCTGATATTCAACAGGGACATGGACAGACTCAAAATCAACAATAAATATCATCAAGCAATGGTTGCTTAAGATATAATTGTTTTTACCAATTTTCGCTTGAATCTTGCTTATGAAATGAGGTCTGTGACACACAAGCTTTCATAATCCATAATGTAAATCCACAAACATGGGATTTAATCATTCTGCCACGCTATGGACGAATATTTCTTCACGCTATGGCTTCTCAATGTTGCACAAAAATCATATGAGTTTACATTCATATCTTTTTTTGGTTCATTAAACAAAGTTGCTGCTAAATTAGACTCCAGTAACTCGAACCCATTTAGTTGCCTCGGGATACGGACAAAAGCCCCCCGGACGAAAGCCCCCCCCGTCTAAAAATGACAAGGTGGACAAAAGCCCCCCCATGAAATTTACACATAGGACAAAAGCCCCCCCATAAAAAAAGTAAAGGTAGGACAAAAGCCCCCCCCCCATAGTCAATCAAATTTACATATAGTGTATTAAAGTTGTGTTTTTTATGTGTTTGAAACATATGTATGGACATCACATGTAGGTGACATAGTGCTAAGGATATTAATTTTATCCCTTTGCAAAAGTGATTAAACATTACTACTCTTCTGACCATTGTTGTTTACAATCACACATGGATGAACAGTGGCTGCAATTCTGATACTTCAAACTGTAAAGGCAAACCCTCTGTTAAAAAACATGGATCAGAGACACTTGATTCACGACTACATGTACACTGTGTTTGAAAATATGCGATAAGTCAATGTTTGATGGTCCCCCTATTGAGCTAAACAGGCAGGCTGTATTGAGGTGGAAATGAGGGATTTGGGGGAAAACTGGGGAATAATAAATAGGTACTCAACATGATAGAAATTTAGCTTTTGTATTGGTATTTTATCTGTAAAGAACCCATTGGTACCTCTGGTAGCACAATGTAATGTAAATGTAACTAAAATATGTTTAAAATCACACTAAATGTTATCAATTTAGTTCTGAAGATATTTCTTTATCATCTTTTTTTCATCTTAAGTGACCTGGTTGATCAATGTAAGATTTACTATTTTTTTATGAGTTTCAACCAGTGTGAAGCTTCTTAAATGAAATTTTTTACAACAAAGTTACATTCTAAAACTAATTTCAAATCTGGAAGCTTGAAATCATTAAACTATACACCATATTTGTCAATATAATTATATTCTAGTATAGAAATCACCTTTTTTCCTCTGATTCCATAGTTGTAGAATTTTATATAATTGTTTTGTGACCACACAGGGGCATGAAACATATCTTGGAGACTAACAGTCTATTGTAAGAGTATGGAAATAGCCTTTTGGTTAGGTATGGAAATATTCCTTTAGAAACTGTTAACTAATTCTTAGGTCTACAACATAAACTTCACTTTATTCTTAGTTTCAGCATCCATAAAAAATCTTGCATGGGTCAAGTGATGCCATTTGGTCATTTTACATAATAAAAATAAGTATTCTAGGAAAACAAAGTTAGGGAATAATCTGACATTTTAAACTCACATTATTAGTGCCACCCTCCATCAAATCGTAGACTTCATAAGTTTCGAAAAAATATTTCTAAGTCCCTTCATGTCATAAAACCTCAGGGGAGTCTCTAACAATTACAAAACAACCTATCTAAATGACCATGAATTATTCTCTTTACCATACTTAAACTTGTATAAAAACTACAACACATTTTTAACTTTATTTCTTAGAAAGGCTTTAAGTCATCAGTTATTATGCTGACGACTAGGAAAATAGCTTAAAACTATTTTAATATACTCATATTATAATATAGACCGCTTACAATTAAAACAATCATTTTGTAGACAAAATATATCCATCTTCTTGTAGACTATGTCCCTTAAATAGCACATTTATACTTCTTGTTTTAGAAACTGTCAATCTTTGCTATATCTACATGTATGTATAGATGTAGATTTGTAGAAATATGTTGTTGAAGCACATTTGGTCTCATTAGCTCTCACCTATCTTTATATATGGTGTAAATATGTACCATATACGCATAAACTACCTATATCTTATAGAATGAAAGCACTTTCTGATTCCAACAGGCACGGCACATTCTGGTATCTTTGTTAGCTATATGTATCAGCAATAGTGTTTAACTGTATCAGTATTATGCACTTGTCTCTCCTCAAATTAAGAAACTCTACTATTCTGTTATTAAATGCACTGGTACTTCACCATCATTAACATCTTCTGTAATACACTGACAACTCTTCCACTGGTGTGACACACACATTGAGAGGGAGGGGAAGCAGTAAAGCTATATATGTTTACACTGGAGAGAAATCCACCTTCTATCTTCTGAGACATCAATATTGAGGTAGTGTATATGAATTACTGTGTGAGAAAAGTGTGGGACTAGCTACCCAAACAGCTTCAACACAGACTGGCACAGTGAGGTCAAAGTTTACACACACACACAGATGGACATACAAGTCGTCAAGTGTCACCCATGTATTGCTTTTTATGATTGGTGGCAATATCAGTCACAGCTATGAGTCTCTTCAAAGAAGTTGATTGCTGCAATAGAAAATTATTAATATAATCTTTCTATCAATGAAGTTGTTACATGAAATACTTTTTATGGTATGCTCTAATTTCTTATGAAAAAAAGCAATGAAATTATCATTGCAACCATACAAGCAAAGTCCATTTCTACAATGAAAAGTGTGCACCTTGGGAATCTTGACTTATTTTAATCCCCTTTCCCCGCAATGAATTTACTAGCTTGAACGAAGCTCATAAATCAAAAGAGATTAAAGCAACCATTTTTATACACTTTCTGATGATGAAACACACACATATTCCTGACCAATCCCTTTTTGTACTTGTCAATATGCAAAAACTCACACAGCAAAAAAACTGTAATTCTATTTGGAGGGGAGGTTTTTTTTTTATCTACATCTACAAACTTGTATACACAATGTACATAGGTTTTGAGGAAATCAATCATGATCCGTAAGTTGGAAAATATTCACAAGATTTCGTGTGCAGATTTTGTTGTTGTGCAGTATATATATATATATATATATATATATATATATATTTTTTTTTTTTTTTTTTTTTGTAACTTTGTAACTTGAACCTGCACTCTGCATATCATGACAATATGGTTATAATTCTGCTCATTAGTTTCAATTTCCCTACATCGTTTAAAGTTTCAGAGCAGACATGAAAATGCTAACATACAAGGGCATAACAATATACATCTGGATTTCTTTCTGTGGTAAAATATTAAATTTGATATGTGAAAGCAGACCTGTGATTCTGAGAGTTTCCTGAGATCTTCACGATGTGTGGCACAGATCTGATGTATTGTGGCTAAATCACGAGACAAATCACCTATAGCATTATCACGGACTTCTTCACAATCCTGCACATTCTGAAAAACAAACAAACAAAATATTTCTATTGCTTGTTTGTTACACAATATCAAAAAAGTCAACAAATAGCAATTTTTTTATGCTCACAAAAATTTCTGACACTGACCTTCTACCCTAAAACAGGTTTATACACCCTGTGTATACACTATAAAATCTGTTTTTATCAAGCAAATTGTTATGTACAAATGACATTGCATATGTTTTTGATATTTCATTTTACAGAATGATAAAAGTTTGTTTGGTTTGGTTTTATGGTACACCAACACATTTTAGGTCATATGGCATCGAAACAGGGAAGATGATTTTGGCTAACCTCAGGTGTTACAAACTTAAAGCAACACCAGGCGTCAAAACTACCTGACCTTTCTGAGCTAAGAGATGCATAGACTCTAGTAATTCAAACCCATTTAGTCGCCTATTATGTTCATGCACGGATAAACAGTTATAACTAGAACTGCCACTGTCATGGAGTGAATACCCCAGCATAACACTTTGTCAGAAGCTTTTTTTAATTCAAGGCCCCTGTGACCTTGAACTTTGACCCAGTGACCTAAAAATCAATAGGGGTCATCTACTAATCATGACTAACCTCCATGCCAAATGTGAAGACTGTGGGTCAAAGGAATCTCAAGTTATTGGGCAGACAAGCTTTTTTTTAGTCAAGGAACCTGTGACCTTTGACCCAGTGACCTCAAAATCAATAGGAATCATCTACTTATCATGACTAACCTCCAAGCCAAATATGAAGACTGAGGGTCAAAGAAATTTCAAGTTATTTGGTGGACAAGCTTTTTAAAGTCAATGCCCCTGTGACCTTGACCTTTGACCCAGTGACCCCAAAATCAACAGGGGTCATCTACTAATCATGACTAACCTCCATGCCAAATATGAAGACTGTGGGTCAAAGGAATCTCAAGTTAATGGGCGGACAATGTTTTTTTAGTCAAGCCCCTGTGACCTTGACCTTTGATCAAGTGACCTCAAAATCAAAAGAGGTCATCTACTAATCAGGACTAACCTCCATGCCAAATATGAAGACTGTGGGTCAAAAGAATCTCAAGTTATTGGATGGACAAAGTTTTTTTAGTCAAGGCCCCTGTGACCTTGACCTTTGACCTCAAAATCAATAGGGGTCATCTACTAATCATGACTAACCTCCATGCCAAATATGAAGACTATGGGCCAAAGAAATCTCAAGTTATTGGGCTGACAAGCTTTTTAAAGTCAAGGCCCCTGTGACCTTGACCTTTGACCCAGTGACCCCAAAATCAATAGGGGTCATCTACTAATCATGACTAACCTCCATGCCAAATATAAAGACTGTGGGACAAAGGAATCCCAAGTAATTGGGCGGACAAGGAAAAACCGACGGACCGACGGGGAGACGTCCGGACAAGCTGATTCCAGTATACCCCCCTTACAACTTTGTTGTGCGAGGGTATAAAAAGTCAGAGACCAGGGTCTGTAATATTATATTAAATGACATTTTAATTTCGTCCATACCGAAACAAGTGGAGAAGTTCAAGACAAAATAGCTAGATTGTCACTTGGCTAAACTTAGGCCACCAATGTGACTTTTTTCACCCTTGAAAAGCTCTAAAATATGCCATAGATTTTGGTAAAATAGTATCATATATACACCCTACCTTCAGAAATAACATTTGAGCCTTGTCACGACAAAACCAACATAATGGGTTTGCGACGCGCAGTCTGATCAGGATCCATGATGTTCGCTATCAGTTTCTTTACTTGTTATAAGGTTTGTAAGCGAATAGCATGGATCCTGATCAGACTACGTGGCTCATTTCTGTTTTAATACTAATCAATACTTACGGACAATTTATCCAGAAACTCGACCATTCTAGCTTTGTTATTTTTAATGAATGGATTAACACAGGTCATAAACTGTTCTTTAACACCAAACTCCACCAGATTTGCCAGATTCTGTAAAGCTTTTGCGATCAACTTTAATGTTCTTACGGCTGTCTCGGAGGGAGTTTCTGCAGAAAACATGTTACTATAGTCTAAGTCTGAGTCAAAATTCAAACAAGTAATTTATTTGCTTTATGAAATTTAGGTCAAAGTTTAAGTCAGTAACTATTTTTCAACAAGAAAAACATTTTTTTTTTTACACTGCATGAATAAAATAGTAAGAAATCATCAATTTTGTTCCACAACTATAAAATCAAGGAGAGAAAACACAACTTACCAGTGATAAGATTAAAAGATTTTGGGTGTAAAATGGCAGGACACAGAAGACGAAGGAATACAAATCCACTGAAATAAAACATAATAATTATATTATCATTTGCTGATTATAACCTTTAATTAATTAACAACTTAATTCTTTAAAGACATTTGTCAATCTATACAACCTGTGATATAAACTATCACAATGATTTGACCCCTATGCTCTCAGTATAGAGCTAGGTTCTACCTAAAATAGAGAAGAAATGAATCCCTAAAGAAAGACCAAAACAGCAAAAAATTAAAATGTTGCAGGCTCAGTTTGATTGAGCCTGTTCATGAACAATACTGTCAAGTGCATACTACTGTCCACACTCCCTAGCACCGACTTAAGCAGAATTCAACATTTTAAAACATGAAATGGTAAAATTTTGAATTTAGAAACATCGGCAGATGTATTCATATGGCGGTTAACAATATTAAATTAGAATGCAATGACAGAGCATGGCTTAAACATAATATGTCTCTGGTTTAAGCTTTATATTTCAAGTGTTATTTCTAAATAACCAGTGATTGATTTAAAACATCAAAAGTAAAAATCAAAACTACATGAAAGGCATGATAGCATGAAATCAATCTGAGCATGTGACAGTTGCTAGTAATTATCTCATTAACATCAGTTTAAATTGTAATGTATCTCTTAAGATTTCTTGTTTTGCATATCAATCATGTACTACTTTCTTGTTGATTTCCGATATAAAATTTGCTAACCCCACCCCAGAGGGATAAAATGTTTACCTTAATTTGCCAACGCCACCCCTAAGGGATAAAATGTTTACCTAAATTTGCCATCCCCACCCCAGAGGGATAAAATATTTACCTAACTACTCTGGTTTTAACACTCTCATCTTCAGGCCACTTTGCTGACACTGTGCGTTGTAATCTACCACATATGTAACGTAAAACTCTGTAAAACATGAAAGCTCTCATAACTATAACCTAAGTAAATTTCTGCAGACTAGTTTATATTTTATATAATGCACTATGCAAAATCAAATTACTTTTAAATAAAACTGTAATATCTCTTACTTTTCCAATCCATGAATTTCTTATTTATGTCAAGTTATCATTTCATGGCTGAGAAGAAAAATCTAAGATAATTTCTTAAAAAGTAAGAAGTAAAGACTCGCACCTTTACTCAATGGAATAAAACTGAGCATGTAGAATAGGGATACATGTTAAATAAATACATTATAAACTTACTTGGGACAACTTTCTGTTGATTTGAAAATAGATTCCACCATTTCAGTGAGAAATTCTACAAAATGATCTGTATTGCTAGGTAATTCAGAGGGATTATCCAGAAACTGTGAGTTTAACTGAAGTAAAGAAACATTCAATTGTATGCTACTTCTATAAAACCACATTTTATTAAAATGCTAGTAATTAATATTGGTCTTCATCATTCCTCAATAACAAATTTTCCAACACAAATGAACTTAAATAAATTAGTATAAACTAAATAGTCTGAACTATCATTTAGATATGTTACTTTGTTTGTTATAGTTACACCTGATTAGACAATACATCAATCAAATGATGGTTGGTAGTGACCCAAGGGGTGAGTCTTCAGATTTTGTACAAATATTCAACTGTTATTTCCATAGTTATCTGCCAACTTCCCCATAATAGTCAAATGCCACACTCATGGAAGGTATATATTTCTAGACAAGATGTCCAGTATAATCAGTGTAAACATAAGTATCAGCTTACCTCACAGCTTTGTTTACTCTCACATATTTTACACACAGGTCCTTTAATAGCAGCATGTACAAACTCTGTACCTATCATTTTCATGTATTGGTCCATTAATGTAGTAGCTAGTGTAGAACCGCGGAACAGAGTGGAGACTTCATCTAAAATTATTACATTATACTGATAATTCTTTCCATCTATTGTAAGTTAATAAAATTGTGAAATCTTACATCAGACAATAAACAATACAAGACATGCTTTTTTGCCTTACTAACAATGTACAAGAAATATTGTAGAAAAAATGTTGAAGTCATAAACATTTCAGCTGGGTGGTCATTAAAAAAATTTCTGAGACAAGCCATTTTATATAATTTTATTTGAGGTAGTCATTTCTGTTTTTTGTTTTTGATTTTCCTTCACATTCAACGAAATGTTTGTTGTTTTTCCTTCACATTCAACGAAATGTTTGTTCTAAGTTTTGATGCATGTGGAAGGGTCTTTTAGGCCTACAGCATCTGAACCTTTGTTTTTATAATATATCATATACATGATTCATTGATTTCTGTTAACAAGCCAACAGGGCCACCATTTTATCCATATGTTGACCTTTTTTTACTGGTGCAGTTAAATACATAGGTTTCTGAATACATGTATGCAAGATTTCAGACATGTTAACCTACCAATCTTTCTTATTCTAGCTACATAGCAGCATCACATGTACACTGTTTTATCACTCTATATAAGTTAACAGATATAGTCTTACCTTCTTTTCCAATATAGTAATCATTGATGTTTTTCAGTAAGACTTTTACTTGTTCCTCATGACGGAATAAATTCAACAAAGCTTTAGCAAGAGATACTCTGTGATTGCCACAAACTTCCGCCAGTGTGAGAATATTTCCAAAATCATTAAGTATAAGCTGAAGTAGAAAAATAAAACAGTCATATCTTCAATGTAAATGATGAAGTGAGGTTTCTTTAACTGTCAATGTGGTTTCATGTCAAATAATATTACAAATTATAGTAATATAGCAAAACAGTCTAAAATAGTTTATTGTTTATATCAATGTTAAAACATTATTACTGTTTGAGCAAACTCCTCACAGCGGTTACGTCACGCTTTGCTACTTTAACCACTGCCACCACTGAAATCACGTGATGATAGTTGTATCATGTGACAAAAACATGGCGGCCAGTTTCAGAACGCCAAGGATCCAATATCAAACTGGCAGATTTATAATTACATCCTTACCAGACAAAATAAGTTCAATACACACAATTTGTTATCACTTTAAAACAAGTGCCGGATCAAATCTTTTTGTGCAATCGTTCAATAACTGTTTATATTCTGCCATTGTTTACTGGTTGTTACTATGCATACGGTGTCACAGTGAAAATATCTTTCGTTATGTTTACAAAATAATTTTTATACGTATAATTTTTTACTTTCTTGTACATTAAGCATAACTATTTAACGAAAGAAAACTAAAATGATATAAAGTATTCTATTTTAAAATTAAAAATGAAAAAAATATATCCGGCTATATTCGACCGAATTTACTTGTGGTGGCAGTGGTTACTGTACAGATCAGGGGAAGTAACCGCTGCGAGGAGTTTGCTGTTTGAGGTTTATACATTCATGGTAATATCAGTATTCAAATATAATTTCTCAAACTTTCAGCTCAAATTATATATATTGTATGCCTTATACAATGGCAGTCTAGCCAAATACAGGAAAACTATTACTCATCATATTAGTATGTAAAACCTGTGCTAAAGATCACCTGTGAACAGAAACCAACCACCCTCAAAGACCATAAATTCTTTACAAATATTTCAGTATTTCTAATGTATTTCAACCTGTGAAGTAAGATCATCTGTCTTGTCAACCTATACTGCTTCATAAATATCCATGGGGAGATCATTTAAGCTATCTTATAAAAATCTCATCACAGCATACTTAAGATAATGACTTACATCTTTGAGACTAGTGTACTGTTCCTCCGGCATTATCACCTGGTGAATATATCGTGTACGAAGTCGTATCGAGCCCATATCACATCTGACAGCAGCGTGAGGCTGTAGAGTGTACCACTTATCAACTAGCTCACCATTATCAAACTCTACAAGGGGTATAGTTACATGAGCCACCTCTGTATCTTTAGATCTTTTACTGTGGTTGAAAATCTTCACAGTAATAAAATTCACATCTCCAGGAATATCACTGTAAACAAAATCAAAATATTAACTGCATTAATAAAAATAATATTAATATTTGGTAAGTGTAGAGGAATTGCCTTGCTTTGAATTTGGAACAGTTTACAGTATTTCAATATTCACTTGTCAACAATATAGAGCTAAGTCAGACTGCACAGATGTGCTGGCTGGCCTGGCTTTATACTGAAGGCACAGGCCAAGCAGGCTATGGGTTTGGTTAAAGAATAAATAAATTTTGATTTAATCCATAAAATGTTTTTTTGCTTATCAAATAATTTTTTTTGCTAGATTTCAAGATAATAATGCAGATGTAGGGAAAGACAATGAACATCTTTCAAGCAAATATTTCAGAGAAAGCTGGTGCATCATAAATTAACAAAGGAAACAAGATTGTTTGTAAAACCCTGTATGCCCCTATAGCAGCCAAATTAGTCCATGTTGATAAGGGTTATTATGCTTGAACTTCTGACCCGTGATCAAATCAATTAATAAGGGTTATTAAAGTTTACTGGTCATGGCCCTTGACCTTTGACCTCTTGACCCAAAACTCAATAGGGGTCATCTGCTGGTCACGACCAATCATCATACAAAGTTTTGAAGTTCCTAGGCCTAGGCGTTTTAAGTAAATTGATCCAGAAACCGTTTTTACCTACAAGGTCAATGTGACCTTGACCTTTGACCCCTTGACCCCAAAAATCAATAGGGGTCATCTGCTGGTCATGACCAATCACCATGCCTACGTTGAAGTTCCTAGGCCTAAGGGTTCTCTTATTATTGATCGGAAACCGTTTTAACATACAAGGTCAATGTGATCTTGACCTTTGACCCCAAAATCAATAGGGTCATCTGCTGGTCACGACAATCACCATGCCAAGTTTGAAGTTCCTAGGCCGAAGCGTTCTTTAGTTATTGATCAGAAACCGTTTTTACTTACAAGGTCATTGTGACCTTGACCTTTGACCCCTTAATCCCAAAATCAATAGGAGTAATCTGCTGGTCATGACAAATCACCATACCAAGTTTGAAGTTCCTAGGCCTAAGTTTTCTTGAGTTATTGATCAGAAACCGTTTTTACTTAAAAGGTCAATGTGACCTTGACCTTTCACCCCTTCACCTAAAACTCAATAGGGGTCATCTGCTGGTTCATGACCAATCATCACACAAAGGTTGAAGTTCCTAGGCCTAAGCGTTTTTAGTTAATTGATCGGAAACCGTTTTTACCTAAAAAGGTCAATGTGACCTTGACCTTTGACCCTTGACCCCAAAATCAATAGGTCATCTGCTGGTCATGACCAATCACCATACCAAGTTTTGAAGTTCCTAGGCATAAGGGTTCTTAAGTTATTGATCGGAAAGCATTTTTACCTACAAGGTCAATGTGACCTTGACCTTTAACCCCTTAACCCCAAAATCAATAGGGGTCATCTGCTGGTCATGACCAATCACCATACCAAGTTTGAAGTTCCTAGGCCTAAGGGTTCTTTAGTTATTGATCGGAAACCGTTTTTACCTAAGAGGTCAATGTGACCTTGAACTTTGACCCTTGACCCCAAAATCAATAGGGGTCATCTACTGATCATGACCAATCACCATCTCAAGTTTGAAGTCCCTAGACCTAAGGGTTCTTTCACTATTGATCGGAAACCGTTTTTACCTACAAGGTCAATGTGACCTTGACCTTTGACCCCTTAACCCCAAAATCAATAGGGGTCATCTGATTGGTCATAACCAATCACCATACCAAGTTTGAAGTTCCTAGGCCTTAAGGTTCTTTAGTTATTGATTGGAAACCGTTTTTACCTATAAGGTCAATGTGACCTTGACCTTTGACCCCTTGACCCCAAAATCAATAGGGGTCATCTACTGATCATGACCAATCACCATACCAAGTTTGAAGTTCCTAGGCCTTAAGGTTCTTTATTTATTGATCGGAAACCGTTTTTGCCTTCAAGGTCAATGTGACCTTGACCTTTGACCCCTTGACCCCAAAATCAATAGGGGTCATCTACTGATCATGACCAATCACCATACCAAGTTTGAAGTTCCTAGGCCTTAAGGTTCTTTAGTTATTGATCGGAAACCGTTTTTTGCTTACAAGGTCAATGTGACCTTGACCTTTGACCCCTTGACCCCAAAATCAATAGGGGTCATCTACTGATCATGACCAATCACCATACCAAGTTTGAAGTTCCTAGGCCTAAGGGTTCTTTAGTTATTGATCGGAAACCGTTTTTACCTAAGAGGTCAATGTGACCTTGAACTTTGACCCCTTGACCCCAAAATCAATAGGGGTCATCTACTGATCATGACCAATCACCATCTCAAGTTTGAAGTCCCTAGACCTAAGGGTTCTTTCACTATTGATCGGAAACCGTTTTTACCTACAAGGTCAATGTGACCTTGACCTTTGACCCCTTAACCCAAAATCAATAGGGGTCATCTGATTGGTCATAACCAATCACCATACCAAGTTTGAAGTTCCTAGGCCTTAAGGTTCTTTAGTTATTGATTGGAAACCGTTTTTACCTACAAGGTCAATGTGACCTTGACCTTTGACCCTTTGACCCCAAAATCAATAGGGATCATCTACTGATCATGACCAATCACCATACCAAGTTTGAAGTTCCTAGGCCTTAAGGTTCTTTATTTATTGATCGGAAACCGTTTTTGCTTTCAAGGTCAATGTGACCTTGACCTTTGACCCCTTGACCCCAAAATCAATAGGGGTCATCTACTGATCATGACCAATCACCATACCAAGTTTGAAGTTCCTAGGCCTTAAGGTTCTTTAGTTATTGATCGGAAACCGTTTTTGCTTACAAGGTCAATGTGACCTTGACCTTTAACCCCGATGACCCCAAAATCAATAGGGGTCATCTACTGATCATGACCAATCACCATACCAAGTTTGAAGTTCCTAGGCCTTAAGGTTCTTTAGTTATTGATCGGAAACCGTTTTTGCTTTCAAGGTCAATGTGACCTTGACCTTTGACCCCTTGACCCCAAAATCAATAGGGGTCATCTACTGATCATGACCAATCACCATACCAAGTTTTGAAGTTCCTAGGCCTTAAGGTTCTTTAGTTATTGATCGGAAACCGTTTTTGCTTTTCAAGGTCAATGTGACTTTGACCTTTGACCCCTTGACCCCAAAATCAATAGGGGTCATCTACTGGTCATGACCAATCACCATACCAAGTTTGAAGTTCCTAGGCCTTAAGGTTCTTTAGTTATTGATCGGAAACCGTTTTTTTGCTTTCAAGGTCAATGTGACCATGACCTTTGACCCCTTGACCCCAAAATCAATAGGGGTCATCTACTGGTCATGACCAATCACCATACCAAGTTTGAAGTTCCTAGGCCTAAGGGTTCTTTAGTTATCACTCGGAAACCATTTGGTCTACGGACCGACGGACCGACAGACCGACGGACCGACAAGTGCAAAGCAATATACCCCCTTTTCTTCGAAATGGGGGCATAATAATACAGAATATTGTTACTGCGCAAATAAAACAGAACGCCTATGTAAAATTCTCCAGATGTTTTGTTTAAAGTTATTTCTCAAGGCCTTTTATTCCCCTAAAAATAAAACAATAGAAAATATAAGAAAAGTTGTTTACTCAAGTGTGAAATTCCCTTTGCCGAATAGTTTTTAAAGTGCCCTACTCACGGGTACGCCCAAACTTTCACGCATTTGGGTTATTTTAACAAAAGGATGAGACAGGTTTTGGTAGGGAAAATTCTACTTCTATCACCCCCATAAAAAGACTAGAAATTTTTTAAGAATGTTGACCTTTTTGTAAAACGGGTCACTGTGTTTTTTACACGTGGCCCTTAATTTTAATTTTACCCATGTCTGTAAAAAAAAAAATCCCAATTCTTTAAGTGAACATTTTTGTTACTTTTGCTAGTTAATTACCCTTCAATTTGTTTTTATCTTAGAGAATTCTTTTCACTTTCATTTGATACCAAAATACTGGGTCACCATTGTCCAATTCATTTTTTCATCATTTGTTTGCAGGGGTATACAGTATACATGTATAGTCATTACATGCTGGGTTACATTCAACACTGGACTTGTGACATCCTGACCTAGCAAAAACCACTTTAGTCAATAACAAATTCCATATCAACACTTTTATAACAACAATATTATGTCACACTATTCCACTAGTTCCATATTTCACTCATTCCTATTACATATACATATGGTTTTCAAATTCTAAATGATTGTACTAATCGTTTTTTGCTATGTACTAAGATATGTAATAATAAATGTGATAAGCTTACAGCTTCCAACACAATCGAATTAAAATAAGTTTGTATAAACTAAGATATGTCAATATATTTTGTTGTTACACTTACCGAAGCTTGGTCTGCACTATCAGCACATAGGTAATAGATTTGATAATCTTGTAAAGCATTTGTGACCAGCTGAAAACAGTTGGGCCTGAAATAGGTAATCAAACTTCTAAATTGACAGAAAACAATTTGTTAAATTAAAATTTGTTAAATGTGCCATGTGTAATAGTTGTATCAATTCAGGCTTCAGGGAAGATTAAAGGAAGTGTTATCATTCAAAGTTTTGAATTCATTCTACTTTCACAAGCAAGTCTGACTAAAAACTAAATGAAAAAGGTGCTTCACTCCAAAAATCAGCTTTCAGAATAATGCCCCACTGTGCCTTGTCATAATAAACAAATATTCATGCATAAACAAAATTTCAAAGTTTTGAAATATTCTTTTTAATAAGCTTTTTAAAATGCCCTTGTTTTTACAACAGCATTTTGTCATGAAAAAGGAAGTTTTTCCAAGTTTTTTTTTGTACCTTTCCCAATTTTTAAAATTAAATTTTTAGAACGTTCAAAAAAAATCATAAATGCAAAAATTATAATTTTTTCAAATTTTTTTTTTAAAACAGAAAGGTTAAGGAAGGGAAAAATTTGTCAAATAATTTTTTGTTAAATGCTTTACAGGTAAAACCCTTATCTCATAAACTATTTTATAAAAATTTTAGAAAACCCAAAAATTCCATCGCCCGTTTGAAATTACGAAAAATTTACGGGGTATTAGGTTTGTGGAGTAAAAAAAGTTCCAGCACGGGATTACAAGCCCCGGCCTTTCCGGGAATAGTTAATTTTGAAAATATTTTTCGAATCCTGATAGCAAAGTAAGGATGTTTTTATAAACTAATTGTTGTATCTTGAACGGTTTGTAACAAAGTATGCCATGTCATGTCATTTAATATACATGAAAACTGTATGTTAAAAGAATAAAATATTCTGCAGATGGTCTAATTTTACAATCCACAACCGGCAAATATATATAGCTTTATACATTTTAACAAGACAAAAAGTTGAACGCAAAAACCATAACCAAGTGGTCAGTGAATGAAAACAAAAATCAAAATCAAACAGTGAAAAATTATTTAATTTACCTGCCAAAGAAGCTGTCATCAACTGGGTAAAGTTCACTATAGTTTAAATCTATCAAACCTTTTGATTTTGAGCGCTGAAAAAGCACAGAAAAAATTGCAGTTTGATGTAAGTTTTACACTGTGTGAAATTTTAAATATATATAATGTACAGATGGGGTTCTACTGTCTGAATTAATACTTGGCAGGTCTTGCTCAAGCAATAATGTTGAAAAGCCGTCATATGACCTTTACAGCACTTTTTATATCTTAGAAAGTTAAAATTAGTAAACTCATTCCAGAATTCAGTTAACTAGTTACATTTTATCATTCCTGTTCTATATACAGCAAATGGCATTCAATAGCTCATAGTCATTATAGAAATCAACCATATATTAGTATAACATAACATGCTAACTTACTTTTTCATTTTCAAATAAACAAAGTTCCCGGTTACTGCCATTCAATATAAAGAAAAAAGTTTTCCATTTTTTACTCTTATTGCCTGAAAAGATAAAACAATATCGACTGATTAGGAGAATTAAATCTCTTTCATTACATATGCAGTTTTTGGATATTTCCTTCAATAAAATCAAGAAATACATTGTATGTACTAAATTTTTGCCAAATTAAATAACTGACTGTGAGACAAGAAATGTTAGAAGTTCTCATTTCGTCATTTGTAACTTCTAGAATAACACAACTTAAAATTTGCTAAAAAAACCTAGTTAGTTGTTTAATTAACTACATTGACACTAAAGGGTAAAGACAATGTTTCCAGATATAATACCAGTAGGATGACTGGTTAGTTCTAGAAGTAAACTTGAGAGTCAAGTTGTCATTACAAACTAAAATATATGGTGTTTAAACTTTGATATCACAAGTTTGACTAGAACCTTCTATATTTCAATTTGTAAAGCCTTTTGGAGAAGACTTTTTACTTTTTAACACTTTTGGAATATAAATCATCTTCTTGCTTAATCCTAAAAACAACATATAAAAAAAAACTTAAATTTTTGTAAACATATTCCAAATACAAGATTATAAGTGACTTTTCCAAATACAAGATTATAAGTGACTATCTAAGTGTTTATCTAAAACACACACACATATTGCCTGTTGAAATAATGCGATATACACATGTAAAAAATATAATTCTTATACTTCTCTTCTGCAGATATCCTGAGCGTTCAATTCTATCTTTCCTGCCCATGAGCCTTGTAGGACCTGTACTGAGACGTATAGATGCATAAATGTCTTCAGCAGAACTCTGATGTTCCAACTTGGACAACAGAGGAAACTTTTCTGGTAGATCAATTTTTGGCTAAAATCATCAAAATACATGTATGTAAACTCTATTTTTTATGTAAACTTGTGATCTTTATGTCATAAAGTATTGACTTATGTTCCTGTCAATGAAAATGTTGCTTCAGTTTTATAAAACTTATTAGGAGAGCTTTTGTAAAACAAATTGTGCTTTATAAAGCTTTTGAAAATAGAAAGATACAACTGGTCAGAAGACATCTAGATTAAAAAATCAGCAGAGAGCAAGTGTTATACCCAAGACAGAATCTGATCCAAAACAGTTTACACTACAGTATAACTCATAAAGCCATTATTCTGGTACTTAATTGAGGTGTTTTAATACCTATCTGCAATGTGAATATAGCAATAATAAGGTTATTAAATAGACAAGAAGACTTACCCTACAAACAGGTGTATTTAACGTATGACCTTCAACAATTTCCTCCTTCCTGTAACGGCTTATTATACTACCCATACTACAAACAAAATCATGATTAAATCATTTATCTTATGATCTATAAAGGAGATGAATTTAAAATAGATTTAGGAAAACTCATATTAACTTTGTATGTCTTATAATATAATGCAGATCACAACAATTGAATCATTTAGTTGATAAGATCTGAATGGCTAATTATGGACCACCTAAATGATGATTTTTGATGCAATTTTCTTTGAAAGCGTAGTTAATTCATACTTAAATGATAACATGCTACATGTAGATTTTAGAAATTTTCAAAATTTAAATTTATTTCACTCCATCACATCATGCGATATAACAAAAGCCCATTTCGACTTCCATATTACCTATCACCAGTAGGATTATTTATGTTTTCACAGACTTACTAATAAACATTTTCTTTGTCTTGTTTCACTATATATAAAATTAACCCTTTCACTGCCATATGCCGTCCCTATTATTTTCGGCGTATTTGCCATATGGACGGCTTTTGCCGTTTCTATAATAATAATAATAATAATAATAATATAATAATAATAATAATAAATATATAGATAATTATACCATCAACAATTATTATTATATACTAGCAGATTTGGAAACATATATATTTATTATAATACTAATAACAAATAATAATAATTATATTTTACTCAACATCACTAATTCCGCGTCATCATTTATTTCACGGTAATGGCATATTTTCGTGTCACCAGTTTTAAAATTGGTCAGAATTGACATATTTTATTCATACACCAAAACAACAAAGTTTTTGTGAAATATTTTAAATCTCTAGATTTTTACGTAAAACAGAACAACATTTTACAAAGTCCTGCAAAATGCAATAATAGTCCATTAAATCCGTGCCTATGTCTGAAACAATCATCATTTTCTAAATGTTCTTGTTTGTTGAAAAAATAAATTTTGAGTTACAAAGTAAGGATAATTTTAATATTTGAAATCAAGCAAAATAACATGTAGAAATTTTAACTGAAACATGAAAAAACTGAAATTCAACACCATTACCGCGATTTAAATGATGACATACTGTTTTCAAAATGGCTGACATATGGTCTATGTTTGGTCCATTAAAATTGACTCTGACTGACTATATTGTTATTTCCTTGTGCCATACAGCAGAAAATACCTATATGTTATAGCTTATGCCAAGTTTTGTACCATAAGATTCATTTGTTGTTTTCTTTCTGGTTCCAAAGCATTAAGTACCGTGAACTAAGAGGAGCACAGTATAATTAATAATATAATAATTTCTTAGAAATCCTTCTGGCAAATAGGTGATCAATAAATAAATAACCCTCTGGCAGCGAAAGGGTTAAATCACAGACAAGTAAATCTGTATTATTAATGTAATTTTCCCTAAATACAAATAGATAAAAAATACATTAATATTTCAAGTGGATAGGTGAAAAATAAAAAATTTTTTTTAAAAAAAAAGCATAAATTATACTTGTGGTTCTATCTTATTAATATTGAAATCTGTCTTCCTTTCAATGGATGAATCAAGCAAGCAGAACAAGTCTGTCCCATTAGTTTTGCGGAAAAACTTATCTCAAAAATTGCAAACCCCTGACAAACTGTCCCCCCTTTTTTTATTTTAAATCTCTGTAAAAGACATGATTACATGGAAAAAAAAAGTGTAGTTGCCGGGTGAATTGTCACTAGATCGTACTAGGAAGCTGTTTGCTCCAGCTAAAAATAACAACCAAAAATCAACATTATTTTTCAAAAAGCACAACCCAACAATAAAGATATCAACAAAGAACATACTCACAAGGCAGGCAGTCCTGCCACGGCAAGGTTGTAAAATCCTAAAACTCGTCAGTTACATCGAATAAATTCTTCATGAACATATACAGAGTTATTTATGACAAAACTGATTTACAATACAATGAGAAAACATTTTTATTCAGTGTCTCTTTAAACTAGATATAACCAATTCAATATATTTTTCCTCAGTAGAGGACAATAAACTTTATCACTATTATTATATATGAGCAAGAGGAACCATGGTAGCCTTAGATTGCTCACCTGAGATTGATAATAGAAAAAGGTAATAGTTTTTCAATTCAAAGTATGTCATTTGGATATTTCATTGTTTATACTACGGGCATAATTTATACAACTTTTGTAGATCTCACGTTGACTTGATAATCCCAGATCAGGGCCACTAGGCAATGCCACATGCCCAATATCTAAGCTCTGAGCAAAGAAATTTCCCGAAAAAAATATATAAATGTACTTTCCGGTAATCATTTATATCAACTAATTGACATTTTTTCCCAATGATTTACGTAACTTTTGTATAGGACTTAACGATTTTTTTATGATACCGAATAATGGATCCATTCACAATCAAGAACGGTCCTTCACAATTTTCAGTCCAGGTCCAAGACCTGTTCACAACTTTGTTAAAGTCACAAATTATCTTGACAAAGTTGGACTATAATTATGGTTTTCTTTATTGGTTGAAGACCTCAGGTGCCCTTCCGTGCATTATTTCACACAGGCAAGGGCACCCGAGTAGAACCACCAACATTCCCTAATCTAGCTGGATAGTTTCTCACATGAAAAGAATACAAAGTCCTTGAAGGAATTCGAATCCACAGCGGTGAGGGGCAAGTGGTTTGATGTCAAGTACGCCCCAAAACATATATCAAAACTCTGAATATTGTAGTTTGTAAGAAGATTTTTATAGCATGCTTTCCAATATAATCAATTTATGTATGTGATCCTAAAGTGGGGCGTATTTTCACTCCTTGGGCATTATTTACACAACTTTTGCAGAGGTCCATACCCAAATACTACATTCCAAATATCTAAGCTCTATTCATTTTAGTATCACAGAAAAAAATTAAATGCATTTTCTTTAAAGTCAAGCAAAGGAAACTCCAGGGTGTGGGGGTGCGGGAGTGCCAAGAGGCATGAGTTGTACATCTTTTGAAGAGGATCACAAACATCTAAGCTTTTTATTTTAATTTAAGTCTATATTAACTTGTGACCACAATTTTTAAATCCATAGGCATAATATATAAAACTTTAGCAGTGGACACTAAGGTGATAGAATATACCAAATATCTTAGCTCAATGCATTGAAGTTTATGGTTTCAAGTCTATTTTTAGCTCATGTGACCTACTGAGACCATTTATACATCACCTTAGGGTCATTCATAATAAGTTGGTCAAATCTAGGTCAAATCTAACTATGTAGTTAAGGAGGAGTTGTTTATAGAAACTGTGGATAACGATAGCATGACCATAACAAAAACTTAACCATTTACTCAGGTGATCAAAAAAACCCTGGATGTTACAGTGCAAAACAATAGAATCTATACTAATGTTGATACTTAAAAAAAACAAGATTAAAGAAGTCCTAAAAGATTTTGTTTTGCCATTTCTGTTTTGTTTTTCAATCCATTCCACAGATTCTATATAACAAAGAAGTGTTACAATTACTTTCACAAAAGTATGTCTTAAAAAAATCATATTCAACTTACATTATTAATTAAATAAACATTTTACAAAGAAGAACTAACATAACGGAGATAAAAATGCTATAAAGGTAAATATAACCCTCAAAATGTCAAAACTCTCACATGTAGAGCTTCACAACTGTCAGACAAGAGGAAAACCCAAGAAATTCACAATATTTTCTGTTTCCAGGATATAAGTAAGTGAATTCAGTCCAGAGGGTTTAAACAGACATCAAATACCAAAATTCAAGCACTTTTAAGCATATTTTAAGAACATTTTCCATTATTCAAGCATAATTTGTTGCACAAATATCATTTAAAACCAATGATAAGGTAATTTTATTCAACCCATGTTTAGTTTAATAGTCATTATTTTTTAAACACTTTTTTTTTCGGTCACCATTCTACTGCTTCTATACAAGAACATGAAAGGGGCACATTAACTATTTGTACACAAACTAGTTGGAATCAACTGCAATTCATCCCCTTACTGTTGAGCAAACAAATCATTGATTTTGGTAATTAATGGATCCTTTTTTATTTAACTGCAGATTTTTACTGACACTATGTCATTCCCTCAGTTTTAAGCATATCAAGAGAAAAAACACTTTTCAAGACAGTTATCAAATTCAACGATTTTTAAGCACTTTTCCCAGTTTTTAAGCACTTTTTTGGGAAAAGGACTCAAATTTAAGCACTTTTTTAAGAAAAGGACTCAAATTTAAGCACTTTTTAGAAAAGGAATCAAATTAAAGCACTTTTTAAGACAGTACAAACTCTGTTCACTGTATGAACCAGAACATTTTCAACTACAACAGTACCTTTTGTGTCCCTTGCTATTACAAAACTTGATACAGTATATTTGTAAGCAAAGATGTAAACTTTCTTTATATAAACATACCTTGTCTAAGTTTTGACACTGCTTCATCTTTGGTAATCTTTGGGTGAAAATAAGGCAAACTTGCCACTGGATCCAGATTCCCATTCTATTTATAAAATACAAGAAAGCATGTCAAACTACCGTATGATTATACAAATCAAAACAAATTGTATTTTGAATTTCTGTTGTACAACATGTAGGTTTATAAATAAGGAATACTCAGTGCTAACCTTATTAAGTATCTTCTATTTTTCTCCTTTTATTGGAAAAAATTTAATGCATTTTTTTTCAGTTAATGATTTAATATCAATTTTACTGTTAAACAGGAAAACAACACTAAAGCTAACAACACAAACTATTTTCAAAGTATTGCATGCAATACAAAAGTCCCCTACTGGTAAGAACCCCACAAGAAGAATGTCAGCATTTTTTTTGTCAACAACATTTTGAAGGGCCATGACCATTCAATTTTGCCATTGTGGAAGACAATTTTAGACATTTAAAGTTTCCCTGTCTAATAAGGAAATTATGTTTATTAAACAGATAATCAAAAGATGCAATTTTCTCAGGATGAATATGTATTCCATCACTATGTCATCATATACTGTAACTTACAAGATCTTCCACCAACTCTTCATACACCTGGCCTTCTTCCCCTGTCCTTTGTGACCAAACCCAAAGCCAGCCATCTCCCATCTCATTATTCACCACAAATATATCACCTTTCTCAAAACTGAAAATAATAAAACAAGTATAAGGGTTTCTTTGTCACAAAAACATGTCTCCCACATGTACTCTAGGATGGTATTTTAAGATTTATTATTAATTCTGTGACCAGATACGTGATGAACCAGAACCATTTAAACAACTTTGGTAGAGAACTGTGCGATAAACAGCCCAGAAAATGCTTTACTTTACAAATTTGGCCAAATGGTAAACTTTTATCAAATTTGGCCAACTGGTTAACTGTTATCAAATTGGGCAAAATGGCTAACTTATCAAATTTGGCCAAAAAGTTAACTTTTATCAAATTGGGCTAAATGAGTTACTTTTATAAAATTTGGCCAACTGGTCAACTGTTATTAAATTGGGCCAAATGGCTATTACCAAAATTTGACAAATTTGGCCAAATGGTTAACTTTAATCAACTTGGGCCAACTGGTTAACTGTTATCAAATTGGGCTAATGGGTTACTTTTATCAAATTTGGCCAACTGGTTAACTGTTATCAATTTGGGCCAAATGGCTTTTATCAAATTTGACCAAATGGCTAACTTTTATCAAATTGGGTCAAATGGTTAAATTTTATCAAAATTTGGGGCCCAAAAGTTTTAAATTTTTTCCAAATTTTAACCCAAATTTGGGTAAATTTTATCAAATTTTACAATTGGTAAATTTTAAACAAAAAGGTTAAAAGAGAAGTTTTTAAATCCAAAACGGGATGGCAAGGAGTAAATCTTTCAAAATCCCGAAATTTTTTAATTTAATTTTTATTTGAAAGTTGGGTCCCCAAAAATTTTATGCATTACAATTTTGTTTTTTATTATTTATTTTTGTCTTACAAGCGTTGAATATTTTTTTAAAAAAAACGGCGTTTAATTTAAAAAAAAAGTTTTAAGTTTCCAAAAATTTAAATTTTTTTTATTCTGCTTAAAATTAAAAAATTTTAAATAAAAAATAACCCTCCTGAGTTCATCCCTTTCCTGCATTTTACAATAGGGAAAGATTGCTATCACCTTGCGTCTGTCATCCACAGGCTACAATAAAAATAAATCATTTCAATTTACAATAATCATGGTTTTAATGTTTTCCTATGTCTGGTAAAAGTAAAAAAAAATTTTTTTTTGCTTGACAGCTGATCTTATTGCATAATTGACTTAAATTTTACAAGAGGAAACACTGCATAAAATGATATAACAACAAGAGCGATCAGTGATCACTTGTGTCGCATCAAGATAGCTAATTGCATGTTGCAGCTTCTGTGTAGCAGGTGACATAAAAATCATTACCAGGGCAAAATGTCTATTTTTTATTAAGGGATATAACATGAAGAAAGACTAATTAGACTCTTAGACTACAGGCGGATCAATTATTTAAGTTTAAATTGAATATCATAACAAATAAAATCAAATTTCGGCTTGTCCATTACAGTAATTGAACAGGATATAAATTTATCAAACTAACCTCTGGGGGTGGTACTGGGGTAACTAACTGTTCACCTTTAAGTAGGTATGATATTTTAGTGTAGTAACCTATCAAGTCAGACAGCGTGTCAAACTGACGACCACCAATGTAAAAGTCCCCAGACATAGCTGTTATTCTGAAAATAAAAATTTAGAGGCAATTATTCCAATGTTACATTATAATGTCTCGCGTCAATACAAATTCTATAGTACAGGGTTTTTTTCCAGGATTTTTGGAACATGACCCATATTCATGGAATTGTGAATTTCAGCGATGTTTTGTTAAAAATTGGGGGAAAATGAATGACTAAAATTTTGCGGTGATTAAATGAGTGCAAAGAATCACTGTCTAGGATGGCATCTATAAACATTTAAGCATCATGACAGTGAAGAAGCCCTTATTTTCAAAGATTTTAGAATTTGTAATTACATATTTTTATTTTGTAACATTTCATTGGGATTTTTTTTCCTATGGATTGGGAAAATATTATACCATTTTCAATTGGGAATATGACCAAATATCGGCTATAAAATAAGCAAAATAAACTAGAAATGTGTCCATAGGACATGGGTGCCCCCACCGCGCCACTGTTCTGTCAATCTTATGACTCTGGGTCAAATATTTTTTGAAAACTAAAAATCTTTTTACTAAGTAAAGGGCAAGAACTATACAAATACTGAATAAATCCCCAAGCAAACCCCAAGTTGAAAATTGCAAATTTATACTACTGTAAGTCAATGGAAATAACTCTAACAAAACTGAAAAAAATCCACATGCAAAGTCCCAGGTTCATAGCTTCACAGTGATGTGAATCATTATTCCTGTAATTTAGTGATGTTGATCATTATTCCTGTAAAGTTGGTCGATTCTAACTAAAGCACCCAAGCACTCAAGGAACAAATAACAACATAATGAAACAGTTTTTACTAAGTCACGGGAAATAACTCTACAAATACCGGATAAATCCACAAGCGTAACCACAGGAACAAACTAAATATGCTGAGCAACTTTCCCATAAGGTTTAATGACACTATGTCAAATCCTTTTTGAGTTACATGCGACACATGTTGAAAATTGCAAACATTTTCTAAGTCAAGGGCAAAAACTCTAAAAATACTAAATAAATCCAGACGAAAATACCCAGGTGCACAACTACACATGCTGATCAACATTCCTGTAAAGTTTCATGACTCTAGGTCAAATACTTTTTGAGTTACTTGCGACACAAGTTGAAAATTACAAAATTTTACTAAGTCAAGGGCAATAACTTTAAAAATACTAATAATATCCAGACGAAAATACCCAGGTGCACAACTACACATGCTGATCAACATTCCTGTAAAGTATCATGACTCTAGGTCAAATACTTTTTGAGTTACATGCGACACAAGTTGAAAATTGCAAAATTTTACTAAATCAAGGGCAATAACTCTAAAAATACTAAAAATATCCAGACGAAAATACCCAGGTGCACAACTTCACATGCTGATCAACATTCCTGTAAAGTTTCATGACTCTAGGTCAAATACTTTTTGAGTTACGTGCGGCACAAAAGAGAACGGACGGACGGAAAAGGGTAAATCTAAATGCCCGCCACTAATGTGGGGGCACAAAAATCCCTGTCTAAGTATCATGCTTATGTAAAACTTAACAATAAGATTGTTAAAGAAGCATAAAATTCAATTTCAATGCTAGGGTGAGGAAATTTATGTTAATCATATAAACATAAATATATTATTTCACAAGTAACAAAGGTCTAAAGTTCAACAGCATGACACTTGTATCATAGTTTTGGGACATTTCTGATGAAAATGTGTCAGAAGTAAATCATATACATATACAATGGAGCCTTGCTTATTCGAACCCTTCTAATCCGGAATCCTTTCTTATCCGAAAAAAGTGTCCAGTCCCGATTTTATTTCTTCTATTTTCAAAGTAAAAAACCTTTCGGATCCGGAACCTGTCTTCTCTGAAATCCGACGACTTTTTCTATTTTTGTTCTTATTTTACTCTAAAATTAACCTCTCTGATCCGAACAGATTTTGCCAAATGTCACACCTACATTCAAAGGTCACACCTACATTCAAAATAACAAACAAGCAATTATCATAGTCCCCTACCGGTAAGAGCCAAAGCAACATTCTAAAGGGCCATTCACTTATGTTTCTATTTTAAGTAAATTTGTTGAAAAAGTTCTTTAAAAGTGATCACAGTGAACAGTTTTTATGTACAGACAGACAGACGGACTGAAGGACACTCTAAAGTTATTTTTTAAACATCCCTGTTATCAAAATATAACATTTTTAAAAACAAAAATTTTTAAAAAAAGGAGATAACGATGTCATACATGTGAGTGTAACAAAGAACAATTAGTAATGAAGGTATGAATATTGAATGTTTATTTTGAATTTGAAGTAAATGAAAGTTAAAAGAACGAATAGGAAAAAAATTAAAAGTTTAAGGAGGAGTTAATTCTGGAAATATGGATGCTAGATTTATAAACCTTGTCATATTATTATGATGTGGGAGTTTGAAGAAAATCCTATCATGATTGTAGAAGTTGGAGTAAAAATTACCAATTTCTCAAAAAAAAGTTCAAAAGGGGCATAATTCTGGAAATAGTCTTGCTAGAGTATTGAACACTCACAAATGTTGAGTGATAATAAGAAACATTTATATGAAGTAGATACGTTCAGAAAAAAAGAAGTTATTAAAAAAAAACAATGCTTTTTTTCATGAAAATTTTAAGTT